GCTGTGCACTACAGCTAAACAACAGGTACTGTACGTATTATATGTTAAATAATATGTTAACTTTTTGTAGGCTAGTCATACTGAATTCACTGACTGGGCTATATGCTAAGCCTATATTAGCGTCTAGGCTAGGCCGTAACTGGCCTACAGTACCTTATTCGGAGAGGATTCAATAGAAATGTTCCACAAACCGATCTTTCCTGAAACCGAACATCGTACCGAACATCGTATTGTGAGAGTGCACTGTACATACAAATAGATTCCTGTATTTATATTTTGCGGCATAATTTCATACAGAGACAATGATTTTTCTGTATCTGTCAGTGTTACTTCATCGGTGATGGCCAGCATGATCAGCATGTCACAAATATGGTATTTGGGCCTTTCGAAGTTGGCAAGATAGTGGCTAGTGAAAGGGATTGAGGACCAGTAAAAATATTAATATTAATTTACTGGTCCACTTGGCTAGTTAAAAAAACCTTAAGGGAACCCCTGTGATAGTATGGACAGGGTTTAACACTGACTGAACAATTGGTTACAGGTAACACCAACAACTCTTGCAACATCACCTTCCACCCTCCAAGTCATCACTGTCACAGGAAATGACCTTGGTCGTGATGAAGACAACATTTTGAATATCACTGTAAACAACCAAATCTGTGACATCATCGAGGGCTCATTCAACGTCTCTAACCAAAGGTAATGTAGGATATTTCTCATTAGTATTTGAAGTTTGGCACAGTGGAAATGAGTTTCCCAACCTTCGAAAGCCAGGGTTTCAATCCTTCGCTGTTCATTTCACTTGTGTCCTTGAGTAAGGCACTTTATCTACAGTCTACCCAACTATATCAATGAGTACCAGCAAATTGCTGGGTGTAACCTGCGGTGGACCAGTATCTCACCCAGGGGATGCTACCTGAATCTGGGAATAAGCTCCAGCCCATATGAGCCCTGTGGCTCGTCAAGGATTTACTATTAGAATATACGTTGTCTTCATGAGTGAAATCTAGTTTCTTACTTATCTTATGACCCAAAACAGCTCCACTATATCAGCCTCAGGATAAGACTTAGTTATGGAAAGTAGTACCTGACACAGATTAATTTTCACCCTCTTTAAGGATTATAAAAAAAACAAACAAGCTGTAAATATTTTGACCTAAACTATGGTACTCAAACTAAAAACAGGTCCAAAATGCATACGTATCTAGGACAGGGCTCCACCCACCGTTGTCAAAACAACATTGCTGTCACACCCACGTGCATACAGACACTCTTTTAGGCAGTGTGTTGGGCTCTGCTTATAATGATAGAAATACTTATTAGAAACCCTCACTTAATTTTGATTTATATTTTTTAAATGTTAAAAGGGCTGGAGGCCTAGTTATTGAATAAATATTAAGCATAATAAGTAAATAATGAACACAGTCAAAATACAGTTCAAATCAGTTTATCCATATCACTTTTAGAATATATGTCATTCCATTGATATGTGTAATCATATGTGTGTCACTACGTGTAATTACTGACTTTATTTTCATTTGTAGTGTGAAGTGTGAGGCTCCAGCATGTAATGTGGACAGTTGTAGAGAAACTGTTGTAATGGTCAATTCAAATGCAGGTGTTAGCAGTGCATTTAAAGGATTAACGTACCAGGTAAATCATACTCCACCTTTACATCTCAATACACCTGCTGACAATGATAAACTGTAAAATTTAATATGACCATATATCTCCACATGGAGATATATGAATATTTCTATTGTGTCAGATATTGTGTATTTTAAAATGTTAATACTACTATTTCAATCCAAAATTTGGGTCATTCTGATATATACTTTAGTCGTATATATATTTTGTACCATGAAGTCAGTGTGACTTTTATATGTCCCCAAAGAATTTGTTGTTTATTGTCCCTCGGTGGTTCCTTGAAAAACAAAAAGATTACTCTCCCCCATGGTAGTAAGGCCCAAAAGAAACCTTAGCTAGGGGCCTCAGACCTCTTTGATGCCATTGGTTGGTGATTGATTGGTTAATTGATATTTGACTGCCTTTTTATTCTGTCGCAGAACCCAAGAATTACAGATTTTACACCAAAGAAAGGTATAATGTCTGGTGGTACAAATGTAAGCATTATGGGAGATTTTTTGATGACTGGTTTATCTCAGCAAGTCAAGATAGGAGATGCAAACTGTGATGTCAAAAGGTCAGTGCTAAAATTGTCAAACATCACACCATTTGTTCTAGCTAATGGCAGGATGTGATAAACAAGAGTGATATTAGTCTGTAGATATACAATAATGAAGACACGAATAGCATGTTAAGACATCATTAACTTTATTCAGCAAGCTTTTCCACTTTTGTGATTTCTTCAGATTATACATTGTCTACGGCCACACAGCAATGAAACACCTGTTCTTGTCAGATCTCTGAAGTTAAGCACTTTGTACCTGAAAAGGCACTATAGAATGCCCATTAATGATAACATTAAATTACATGCTGTTCCTGTATAATCTTTCTTTTATATTCTTACATACTAATAGAGCTACTTGTTAGAATAGACTAAAGTATGATTTAAAAGTAGGGAATGCAAAGCATGCTACTCTCAAACAACTGATAAAATTTTTTTGTTGATAATGATAATGATAATGATTAATAATGATTATTGATGATAATGGTGTTAGTGGAGGTATGGCAACGTCTGCAAGGAGTACCAGCAATGACAGTGGTGGTAGCGATGATTTTGGCCATGGCTGTGACTGATGAAGATGTTGTACAATCAAGGACTTTTAACTGTTACCAGGATAGAAAGCTGGCTGGTTTAAGCTGTCTAACTTGAATTAGCCTTATGTGCGGTATTGTTATGCAAATGAGCCAGATAAGCACAATCTGCACATGCTCAGAAAAACAAAACTTTCCTTAGCCACACCACGGCCACACTGCGTATCGGCTAGGCGTACAGCTAGGTCTAGCCGAGAATTACGGTACGGTAAAACAAAGCAAAATAAGGGTACTAATTTCACTTGGCATGCAAATCAATCATACTTACACACTTAAACACAAGCTAGTCTACCAATAAAATCACCTACAAGTTATAAGGCAAGAATGTCTACAAATTTAATTTTAAATTGATGTGATTAGGCTAGCCTAGACGCGGCCTAGGCCATGTCTAACCGCTTATAAAAATGTAGAAAAAAGACCCAATACAAATTAGAATTAAGTTATCAACTAACTAGTGCATTAAAATTATTCATATACTTACTACTTACCTATATAAAATTAAAATGTATTGCTCACAAATGCTAATATTTGGATTTTAATACGCCTTTTCCACTAATCGGTAGACATCTTGAAGTGATGACAAACAGCCTGAGTCAGTGGTGCGTAACAAACAAAAATAAGATAAGCTTGGCCTAGCTGCTATACACCTAGCCGATACGCAGTGTGGCTAAGAAAAGTTTTGTTTTTCTGAGCATGTGCAGATTGTGCTTATCTGGCTCATTTGCATAACAATACCGCACATAAGACTAATTAAGTTAGACGGCTTAAACCAGCCAGCTTCCTATCCTGGTAACAGTTAAAAGTCCTTGGTACAATATTGATAAATGTGACCATAATGAACGGGATGATGAATGGTATTAATAGAGATAAACTGTTAATTTTATTTAAATTTAATGTAATTGTTTATATTATTTGTATGTTCTACTAAAGCTCTGTCTACACTATCAAATTTTCTTTGACAATAATCTGTTGTATGCCCATATATAGTCATGATGTACCCTTATATAGTCATGTTATGCCTATATATGGTCATGATGTGATGTCATCATGACCATATTTAGGCATGTCACATGTTTTTGTCCAAAAAAATTTGATAGTCTAAACAGGGCTTTAAGCTTATTCCACAATATCTAATTTTATGTGACAAATTTGTGTAATGTGCCCATATTTGGGAATACTGATATCATATTACACACAAATATGAGCGTATCACTGTTGTTTGTCACATAACATTTAAAAGTGTGGACAAAGTTTACATTATATTCTAATTTGCTTTTTAACGTTTTCTTCCAGTGTGACTGACACAAATATTATCTGCACTACCACATCATCCAGTGTAAGCGGAGATGTGTCTCTTACAGTTTATTTTGGAAATGTGAGCAGGAATTCCTCTGAAATGTTCAGAGTCACCTCTAACCCGAATGTTACAAGGATCTCGCCCTCAAAAAGTATATGCTCGTAGGTATCAGTATACTGTTTTTTAATGCAAAGTATATCACACACCTATTCTTAACATTAGGACTGGAGTGCACTTCCACTAATAATCCCAATATTGCTGTCCAGTGTAAAATATTAAAAAGAATCCCTAAAAATTTCAAGTCAAATGTTGGAATTATTCATTAAAAGAAATGAAAAAGCTATAATTTTCCAATGAAATAGATTGGAGCATTTTTGCTCTTTTTTGCAGATTTTTCTTCCGTAAAATAAAAGAATTGACAATTTATGTGTCTATGCAAACAGTAAATGGAAAAGTGTTATTTTTACTTTTGTTATTTGTCAAGAAAACCATTTTAAGAGTGAGCAATTTGACATAAGTGCACAAAGTAACTACAGTAATTATTAGTATTTTACAATTTTAATCTTGCACCAATGTAATTACATTTAGTATGAAATATATTGAAGAAATACACCATATATTCAGGTGAACAAGGCGATCAGCGTATAATTTGATCTACTACCAGTAGAACTTCACTGTGGTAGTAGATTGAAACGTCACAAGTACGTATTCATTCAATAGCTCAATCGAGAGAAGATAATGTCATTTGTCCTGTGTGTAGAATTACCCATGTGGATAGGATTGGATTTATTCGGTGTAAACACCAAGGATAGCCCACGAAAGTCTAGAAGAAGACTTATTTCCAGTGGGGTCCTTCTGGCGGTGATTGGGCAGTACACCGGGAGACAATTCCCTACTCTTTTCTGAAGAGTGTACTGCGTCCTTTAACGTGCACATGGGCCATAATGCACACAGGACCAACGGCTTAAACGTCTCATCCGAAAGACGGTGCGCTATTGTAACTTGTATTTCATCCCTCTAGCTGAAACACAAGGAGAGGCAGCGATGGGAATTGAACTGGGGACCTAGAGATCTCCACGGTTCAGCGCACACAGTGATTACCACCAGATTAGCCGACAGAACTAAGCTGCTCTCTCATTTGCATTTTAAAAACCAGAACCTCACTGGAAAAAAGTCGAACTTTTTTCTGTTATCCTTGGTGTTTACTATACCAAATATATCTGATCCAATCCAATTATAATCATGGAATTTTACTGGATTTGAATTGAAGACCGTAAGATTTGAAATCATGATTACATTATTATAGCAATGTGATTTTGGGGTTGTTTATTATGACACACCAAATGCTGACTGTTCCATAAAGTTTTTCAGGTTAGTTATTAGATCATTTGCAATAGATATCTTTCCAACATCGTTACTGACTTTTGCCTTCTAAATTTTGTTATTTAGATTTGTACCTTAAGCGAAAATGAAAATGGTCGTGTAACATGCTATACACCAAAATTTCCTGGCGAATGTCCAACGATGTGTGATGGTGGCCAGCCAGTGAATATGCAAATCTTTTTTGATGGCTATACATACAGTCATGGTGATAATACCTTCAAGTATACAACCAACCCAAATTACTATAGGTTCAATAATACAGAGCATTACAATCTTACAGATGGGGCGTTAGAACTTGCCAACAGGGAGTTAAAGTTGCAGGTCAGTTGTATTTAAGGCATGTATTTAAGGCATGTCTGGCTTATATTGAAATCACACATTAACAAAAGTTGTTGCAAGTATTAACAATTATACTATATTACTACCAAGAAAATTATATTACTATGAACATTTTCGAACCATGTCATATCCATGTAATATTATCGTTCCAGTGATGGCCCCCACATGGCAATCAAATTTGATTGGCAAATTAATATATTTGGTCTGACTGCTTGTCTTGGTGCCGGTGGTCGGCAGGGATGGGGGGGGGGGGGAATTTGCTCTCTGACTTAGCCTGTGATGAAGTATTGTGATATTCTTGTGTAAATTATTCTATGTATCTCTACCTACTGTAGGTAAGTCTGTTTGATGAGATGATGGTAACTAGACATAAAGGTGTTTTCTTCACCCTCAATTCTGTCCAAAGGATGGGTACACAGCTAGTTATTGTTACTGTTAATGTTGTTATTAATAGTGCTAATATTATAAATATGTTTATTTCTTTTTAATTGCTGCGAAGCAGCCAATTCATATTCTTGACAGCAATTTGACCTCTGAAAGGTCATTGTTTGTCAAAAAACAAGGGCCTAAGACGACTGAAAAGCGGAGTTTCCTTCTTTCGTTCTGCCGGGTAGGGCGACGTTTGTAGACTAACCAACACGTACCGACTTCCGCATGTCACGCTAGCCTTATCCTACTAGGCCTAGACTAGCTAGGATGGTATAGGCCTAGCCTTGAAGGGACGAAGGTCCCAATGAAAAA